TCCCCGCCACCCCTCTTCCGCCCTCTCGTTTCTGGAGAAGCCGCGCTACCCTACCGAGTCTTCCTCCTCTCCCTCCCTCCCCTACCTTTCGTTTTGCACACAGCTCCTTTGCCCCCGCAATCCTGCCCCCTCTTCCCCTTCCAGATCTTTCGTATGATTTACCGCGCATCCGGCCCGTCCGCTTTTATTTATTATTATTAGGACGACTAGTATTATATTTGAATTGTCTTTTTTTAGGGGATAGCCCCTAAGAATATCCCATCCTTTAACCAAAAAAATAAATAAAAAAATTCCATCCATCAGGACTTGCACTAAGATCTGCTTGACAACAACAGCTACGTGAAAGGTCACCGGTAAGTCACAAGACAGCAGGTGTCTCGTCCGCAAGCTAGCAGAGCTCCCTTCCATCCTTTTGGTCTTTTTTTCTGTTTTTTAATCCTTTTATTCTTTCTACATCCTGTTTAGGAGTAGTGGTAGGTAGGTAGTGAAAGGGCAAAAAAGAATTTGAGAGAAGATAAATAAAGCGAAGTTATATTAAAAAAAAAAAACATAAACCGGGATATGAAAGAGAGAGCATCAGAGAGGGTATGGGCTTCGCTCCACTACTCACCAACGTGTATAAAGAGAACGAATCTTCGCTAGAACATCGAAAGATACATCACTGCCATAATGTTTTGTCTTTTGTGCATGTGGTGAGTAGTCGAGCGACGCCCTACTATTGCGGTAGAGAATATGTGTTTGATGCTTGATTGGCTTTTTCCTGTTATTGGGGAGGGGGGGGGGGGGGGCCTCGGTTAATGGGGTGGTATTTTCACGTGATTTAAAAAAAAAAAAAAATTATTTTTATTTTTATTTTTTTAATAACGGGAATTTAACAGCTTTGCTGAAGCTCTTTTTACGGAAAAAAGCTTGGCGATGTGGAGAGCACGTGTGGTCGGTCGATATTGGCACACACAAGATTAATTTGCCTTTTTTTTTGTTTTTTTTTTGGCATTTCTCCGTTTGTGATTGTGGGGGGATCGGTAGGACGGGGTGAAATGATTAAGTGGAGTAGTATGTCATCACCCCGTCCTACCGAGCCCCTCACAATCACAAATGGAGAAATCAAGCAGGGCGCCTGCGCAATTAAAAGCAGGACTACCGTATAGCACACATTGAGAAAAGCTTGAAATTGAAAGGGCAAAAAAAAAAAAGGATGCCAATCAAATTGTGGTCCATCGGACCACACACACTACCAAAAAAAAAAAAAAAAAAAAAAAAAAAAAAAAAAAAAAAAAAAAAAAAAAAAAAAAAAAAAAAAAAAGGTGGTTGGGCACGCTTGAATATACTAAAGGGTTTCGTACTACTATGGTAGTTAAAAAAAAAAAAAATGGTGGTTGAAAAAAAAATAATAAAAAAAATGGTGGTTGGGCACTGAGGGAGTCGATCGGATTAATGATGCGGCATCAAAACAGTCATCATGGGCCTCGCTCCTCTACTCTCCAGGTGTGGAACAGTGGACTGAATCTTCCGCTAGAACATGGAAATGTACATGGCCATATTTTTTGTCTTTTATGCATGTGGAGACGAGTGGAGCCAGACCCCGTGCGAATAATGTGGCGAGGGACGTCCACGGGTTTTCATGTGTCCACGTGTCGTCCTGTCGGCGCGAAACAGGCGTCCACTTGTCCACTTGTCCACGTGGCCTCTGCTCACGGGGCCTGGCTCCACTACTCTCCACATGCACAAAAGACAAAAAGTATGGCCATGTATCTTTCCATGTTCTAGCGGAAGATGCAGTCTAATTTTGCACATCTGGAGAGTAGTGGAGCGAGGCCTCGTGTCGGCGCGCAACACGCGTCCACTTGTCCACGCATCTGCGTGTCCACGTGTCCACCCGTCCAGGTGTCCACGTGTTCCACACATCCACGTTTCCAGGTCTGCACGCGTCCAGGCCTCCACGTCTACATACATGCCGACGATATATATACCTCCCTACTCCGACGAAACAGTCTGTGACAGCCACTCGTTTGTTCTCCTCTTCTCCCCTCCCTCTCTGCCTGCGGTTTACCGGGCAGTTCTCTTTGACGATATATATTACACATTAATATTATATATACAGACATATATTTCCACGTGTGCACGCATCCACGTGACACCGTGGAAACGCGTCTACGCGACTGCGTGTTCAGGTGGTGTTTGCATGTCCACGTGTCCACTTGTCCACGTGTCCACTTGTCCACGTGTCCACTTGTCCACGTGTCCACGTGTCCACGTGGCTACGTGGCTACGTGCGACGTACGTGAGCGGGTCCTCTCGGTTTCTCTTTATAGGAAAAGGAGGTATGTAAAAAAAAAAAAAAAGAGAAGAGGTATGTGGAGAAGATTGGTTATGATTGCTCGGATGGGGCGCGATCTGTTGATAACGGGATGATGATGAAGATGGAGAGGAGGGATGGAAGAGAGGGAGTCGATTTTGAGCCAATGCCATGGCGGGAAGACCGTTAGGAGGGGGGTGTTTTTGTTTTTTGTTTTTTTTGTTTTCCCCGGCTGAAAAAGTCTGTGTTCTAGGATGAAGGTTATGCGGACAGCAGGGCAGCGCGGAGGTGGTTGGAGACATCAAGCTCTACTTTTTTTTGTCATGAACATCGTAGGGTGGGTGCTGCCTTTCGCGATCCCCTGGAAAACCCTTTCCCCCACTTACTGGAATATTTCCCCAACTAGGGAACGCATCGCCTGTCGTGCATTAAAACAGTGTACCAATAGATAGATCTACTACACAAGTTGTTCTTTGTTTCCAAGTGCTAGAGAGATCGGAGGGGCTAGCTGTCCTTATTTGGAAGTTGGAACCAACTTTGTGGTGCTGGCTGGCGGACAGGCAGGCGACTCTCCTGTGCGAGACGGTATAGGGG